GGCTCAGAGCCTGGAGCCTGCTTCAGATTCTGTCTCCCTGTCTCACTGCCCTTCCCCTGCTTGCACTCTGTGTCTGTCTCTCTCAAAAATAAACAAACATTAAAAAATAAAATAAAATATAATAAATATAGGGGCGCCTGGGTGGCTCATTTGGTTAAGCATCCAACTTTTGATTTTGGGTCAGGTCATGACCTCACAATTAGTGAGATCGAGCCCTCCCCCGGGTTCTTGTGCTGACAGTGTGGAGTCTGCTTGGGATTCTCTCTCTCCCTCTTGCTCTGCCCTTCTCCCACTTGCACTTTCTTTCTCAAAATAAATAAACATTAAAAAATTTATAAAAATTAAAAAAATAAAATAAAATACCTAAAAGAGTACATACACAATTGCATTTTTTTAAATTGTTTTTTGTGGGTTTTTTTTTGTTTGTTTTTGTTTTTTTAAGAGAGAGAGGTTGCACAGGCGGTGTGGAGTACAGGGGAGAGGGAGAGAGAGAATCTCAAGCAGGCTCCAAGCTCCGGGTGGAGCCCTGATATAGGGGCTCGACTTCATAACCCTGAGATCCTGACCTGAGCCAAAATCAATGACTTGTACGCTTAACTGGTTGAGCCACCCTGGTGCCCCACAAATACATTTTTTTCATTTAAATGGATATTTAATATCTTTAATGATGTCTTTTTTATTTTTCCTTGAAAAATTAAAGTCTGGAGCATGAGTTCTGTACTCCTTTGTAGAACCAAGTTGTGATTATTTGCCCTCTGTAAGGGTCTGTTGCTTTCCAGACCCTTTTTCAGTATACTGCTTTTTCAGTATATTGCCACCACTGTTGTTTTCATTTGGTCTTCTGCGCTCAACTTTAATATTATTCTGGCTCCTAGGTATTTGCATTTGTTACTCATAGTTGTATGCTACCTGATTTCTGATAGGCAGCTTCCTTATATCAGTTTTTTTAAAGTTGAGCTAATGTTCTGCTTGACGTATTTGTTGACCAGATTGGGCTTTACGCCTGCTAGGAATCTCAATTCTTACATAATTTTTTATATTTTGAGGATGAAATACTCTAAATTTTTTTGGCCACAACCATTTACAAAACAATATCCGTATACTATAGCTTAATTTTAGTCACTGTCCTTTGGCATTTGTTGGGAACTAAATCATTTATAATCTAGTAGTAACTCCTTATAATGAAAATAATCTCATAATGAATCCTAAATCATTGTTATAATTTAAACACAGGCTTCCTTGTCATTGATGTACATTAAGTTACATAGTTTGCCCTGGAAGCTTGTAATCAGTTCCAAAGTTCTGGATTTGAAACTTGCTAGGGGAACCTTTCTATTTACAACAAATGCCACTGACACATTTAACTGGAATTTTGAATATAAGTGCTTGTTAACTGGAGGGAGCACTATTTCTTGAAAAGGTAGGAAGTTGAGAATGCTTTTGTTGGGATATGTAAAGAAATGCATAATGGGGGGTGCCTGGGTGTCTCCATTGGGTAAGCATCTGACTCTTGACTTTGGGTCAGGGCATGATCTCTCTGTTCTTGGCATTGAGCCCTACGTTGGGCTCTGTGCTAACAGTGCTGAGCCTGCTTGGGATTCTCTCTCTCCTCTCTGCCCTTCCCCGTTCACACATACGCTGTCTCTCAGATATACTAACTTATAAAGGAGACTGCATAATTGGCAAAAAGAGTCAGGTGAAAACCCCTTTGTGTTTGCATTTATAAGGGGCCTTCTTGTGTGCTTCTTTCCCTGAAACAAAGAGAAAGCCAAGTTAACTTCCAGTTACATTTACAACTTTCAAAGAGGCAGCCTTGATAATCCATTATTTAGAATTGTTTGGTAAATTGTGTCACTTTAGGTGGAAGAAGCTAAACAAGAATTACAAGAGGTTGTTGAATTCTTGAAAAATCCACAAAAATTTACTGTGCTTGGAGGTAAACTTCCAAAAGGTAAGATATCTTCCCTTTACCATGACTTGACATCAAAAATACTGTCATCCATTGCTAATTTAATTTTTATCAGATTTAAATGCCTAAAGTTTAATTCTTAATTGCTGTTTTAGAAATAAGTCTTCATTCTAAACCTAACATTGTATAACCTTTTTGGGAGGAAGGGGATTTTGAGTTTTGTTATAATTTCAAACTTTAAGTTGTAAGAACAGTACAGAGAACTCCCTGTACTCTTAACCAGACTCAACAGTTTTTTTAGCACTTTGTCCCATTTGCTCATTCACTTTCTTCACATAAATGTATTTTTTTAATTATTTGAGAGTAAGTTATAGATATCATGCTCCTTTAACCCCAAATACCTATTACATATTTCTTTAAAATAAGGATATTCTATTATATAACTCCAATATAGTTCTTAAAATCAGGAAATTTAACTTGGTTCCAAAACTATTATGAAATTCACAGTTATATTCAAATTTCAGCATTTCTCTTACTAATATCCTTCGTAGTAAGGTCCTCCCATCACCCTCACTGACCCAAGTTAGGACCTGATCCAGGTTTACACATAACATTTAGATTTTTCTTTAATCTGAAAAAATTCTTCAGCCTTTTATTGTAGGAGTGGGTATGGATCTTTTATGACCTTACAAATAGTACACACTACTTTGTAGAATGTTCCTCTCTGATGTTTTCCCACAGTTAATATGATTTAATGACTGTTGTGATTTTTAATAAGAAATACATATTTAGTCTTAATCCCATTTCTTACAATTTCCTAGTGTTGAGAGCAACACTGTGAGGTGACTTTTAGAACCCACCTAAGGCTAGGAGCTGGTTGCCAATAGAATCAACCATGTGATTACACAGCTGAAACCTCACTCTCACCCTCCTAACTGCTTGGGAGGGGAGAGTGGCTGGAGGTTGAATCAGTCATGCATGTCTAATGAGTCCTCCATAAAAACCCAAAAGGATAGGGTTCAGAGAGCTTCCAGGTTGGTAAATGTGGAGATGTGGGAAGAGTGGCATATCTAGAGAGGGCACAGAAGCTCAACAATCCCTTTCCTTTTCCTTGCCCTATGCATCTCTTCCATCTGACTGTTCCTGAGTTGTATCCTTTTATAAGAAACCAGTAATCTAGTAAGTACAGTGTTGTTTCTCTGAGTTCTGTGAGCCATCTTAGCAAATTAATCAAATCCAAGGAAGAGATCATTGGAACCTCCTATCTAGAGCCTGTTGGTCAGAAGCCTAGGTAACAGCCTGGTCTTGCAGTTCATATAGGCAGTCTTTTGGGACCAAGGCCTTAACTTGCAGTATTTGATGCTATGTCCAGGTAGTTCATGTCAGAATAGAGTTGAATTGTAGGACACCCAGGTGGTGTTGGAGAATTGCTTGTTTGTGTGAGGGAAAAACCGTAGGCTAAAATTGGGTACAAAATTGTAATGACTTAATGGTGTCCTTATATTATACAGTTGTACTATAATCATTTATATTGAACTTTTAAATGGTTCTGGTGTTTTGCTGTTAAAATGAGCACATTGGGGGCTGGGCAAAGTCAGTGAAGGGGAAGGGAGAGAGCTTCCAGTTGTAGAATAAATAAGTCAGAGGAATAAAAGGCCCAGCATAGGAAATATACTAAGTGATACTGTAATAATAGTGTTGCATGGCAACAGAAGGTAACTATACTTGAGCATAGCATAATGTGTAAACTTACCAAATCACTATGTTGTATACCTGAAACGAATGTAACTGTGTGTCAGCTCTACTCACATAAAAATTTTTAATTATGATAATAAAATCAGTGCTGTGGTGATCATCTTAAGGTCTGAAGGCTTTGCCCACATGCTTAATTAACTCCTTAGAATACATTGGAGATTTACTCATGTGTTATTTATTCACTATGCTAGATTCCAATTCTCGAAATGGAATTGGTGAATTAAAGGAGACACTGCTATTTACATTTGGTTTTGTGCTACACACTGTCTCTACTGAGAATGTTCAGAAGTATCTAAAACTGTTTCCATGAGTCTGCTAATTTAGGATTCATTTATTAAGTCAATATTATAACATCATAAAGAGCATGTTTAAAACCATAAAATAGTGACACTTTTCTTATACAATATCAAAGGATATTGTATAAAATTGTGGGAAAATTCTCAGGTACCAAAATGTATTCTATAAGAAATTGATACAGTGAGGAGTTAAACCAGTTAGGAATAACATGGCAACACAAGGGGAGAGTCTGAAGGGTATTTTTCAGCTTTCCTTTAAAAGGGTGTTTTATGGGATGCCTGGGTGGCTCAGTCGGTTGAGCGTCCGACTTCAGCTCAGGTCATGATATCGCAGTCTATGGGTTCGAGCCCCGCGGCGGGCTCTGAGCTGACAGCCCAGAGCCTGGAGCCTACTTTGGATTCTGTGTCTCCCTCTTTCTCTGCCCCTCCCCTGCTCATTTCTGTCTCTCTCTCTCTGTCAAAAATAAATATTAAAAAAAATTTTTTTAAAGAGTGTTTTATGTTAAAATATAGCATTAATATAATATAATTTTGTTGCCTGTTTAAATATATTCTGAAAAGTGAAAAGTTGTGGAACCTAAAGAATTCTGTTATTTCAACTTAGAAGAACTTACTGCTGTTATGAAAATTTTCAAACATATGAAAAAGTTACAAAGCTATAGAGATTAACTACTTTACATCTAAAGCCTTTGGTATGCATCACTTAAGACCAAGCACATTATCCTAAATAAAGAGAGTAATTTATCCTACCAAAGAAAACTAAATACTATTTCCTTGATATCTGGTACTCCAGGTTTTTTTGAAATTTTCCTCAAATGTCTCTAGAATTTCTTAAGTATGTTTTTTACGGAAGATCATCAAGTCAAGGGTTCATGTAGTACGTTTCGTTGTTTTAATCTCTTAATCTGTTTTGACTTTTGTTTAGTGATAAATAAGTTTATATTCCTTTCTCTCAAGATTCTGACTTGTTGAGGACCGATAGATAAGCAGTATTTAAATGATAGAAGGAAATTAGTTTTGGAGAAGATCCTGAAGTTGAATCATTATTTAAAGACATGTTTTGCTTTGTTTCAAAATACTGGTCATGTGTCTTCAACCTCCAAACTATATACATTAATTATTAACTATTTGTTTTATAGGTTCACATCAGGGTTTTGTTTTTGGTTTTGTTTTTTTTTAATTTGAATCATTCTCACTTATTTTTTCTTTTAGGAATTCTTTTAGTTGGACCCCCAGGGACAGGAAAGACACTTCTTGCTCGAGCTGTGGCTGGAGAAGCTGATGTTCCTTTTTATTATGCTTCTGGATCAGAATTTGATGAGATGTTTGTGGGTGTGGGAGCCAGCCGTATAAGAAATCTATTTAGTACGTTTTAACGTATCTTTCATACAATACCAAATCTTCTTACTTTTGGGGGAAGAGGGCTTCTTAACCCTTTCTTGGCTGTGTGATTATGATTGATAGCTGACCTAGCCATTGTGGGGGTCAGGTTTTAGGTACTTTAATGTGAGCTAAAACAGAACTGTACTTTTCCTCCAAAGAGAAGAGCCAGGAGAGGTGTTTGACGAGGTTGGGGGCTGTTGTAAAGCTGGGTTTTTTGTTGTTGTCCTATTCATTTTATTTGTTAATCTGATAGTATGTAATTAAAGAATAATTAGCCTCAAATCTGATTGTATATGGTTTGTGCAGTTGGAAGAGTGAATACTCAGTTGTTTGTGTTGTATATTATTGTATATGATACAGTTTTTTTGAGGCTACTGTTCTTAAATCAGTTTTGAAAGAAAGAGACCTCCTTTTGTGTTGTGTCTCCCAAATGAATGTCTTTCGTTGGCTTTTGACAACCTTACAGGTTTTTCATATTTATATGACTTTATTCAAAAAGTATTGATTTCATTAAACTTATTGGAATCTCTTTTGTTTTCCTAGGGGAAGCAAAAGCAAATGCTCCCTGTGTTATATTTATTGATGAATTAGATTCTGTTGGTGGGAAGCGAATCGAGTCGCCAATGCATCCATATTCAAGGCAGACTATAAATCAACTTCTTGCTGAAATGGATGGGTAATTGAATCTTCCTCTGTCTTTGGAATATGGTGATATATTTGATAACATTCAAGAAATTGGAAAAAATATAGACAACACAGTAGTCCCTAGTGCAAGAAGGCCAGACAAGCTTCATTCTCTGTATTGTGTTGTGTCCATAACTAATTGATGTATCAACTGTTCTTAATTGATGACCTCTACACCTTTTTCATTAATTGTAGTGTGACAGGAAAGTACTAACAATAGTAGTCTCTTGGAGATGTAAAGGGATTGTAGACTGGTTTCTACACAATTTGTGACTAGCTTCTAATGTTGTTGCAGATTATAAGTTTGTATCAATTTTTATAATCTAAAAAGCAAGAGGTGGGGTTGCTTTGAAAGAAGTAAAAATGTCTTAAAACCATATAAGGCAGTTTGGAACCCAATAGGAAGTCTAGGAGCAAATCATTTGAATTGGTAAACTTGAGAATAATTTTTCACAAATAAGTCAGGTACACAAATAAGCCTTTGTGAAGATCTGTAATTGTAGGTGACTTTGTGATATTGCTAGCAGTTTTATTGAAGTATTCTGGCCCAATAACATTTGTTTTTTTCAAAAATTATTTAATAGAGATGTCTTATCACCTGGGTATAAACAAGATCACTCCCTTTTCTTTGCTGTTACTAAAATTAATGATAAACAGTTTTGTGTAGAGCATTTCTATATGTGTACTCTTTTAATTTTCAGTGAAAAGGTACTTTTGTTTCTTTTTTGATAGTTTTAAGCCCAATGAAGGAGTTATCATCATAGGAGCCACAAATTTCCCAGAGGCATTAGATAAGTAAGTGTGAAAAGACTTCTTTGGTAACTAATGATCATACTAGAACATGGATGAACTTTAAAAGAGAGGGAAGCCCATCACAAAACATCACATATGGTTTCATTTGTATGAAATGTCTCAAATAGACAAATCCATAGCAACAGAAAGGAAATTAGTGGTTGCCAGAGTGTGGGAAGAATGGGGAGTGACTGTTGGTGACTGTGGGGTTTCTTTTGGGGTAGGGGAATAAAAATATTTATTATTTACTAATTTATTATTTAATAACTCAAATGAGAGTGTTGATAGCTGCACAACTCTGAATATATGAAAAACCATGGGATTATCTACTTTAAATTCTGTGATATGCTAATTATATCTCAGTAGAACTGTTTAAAGAATCTTTTGACAGACTTTGTATCACAAAATTTTAGGCTGGTACAGAAAATTGTAAAATGAAACTTATAGTTTTAAATTTTTGTTGTACTTATCATAGAAGTTACTCCTGTTTTCTTTCTTAATATGTTGGTTTTTGAGAGAGAGAGCGAGTGAGTGCAGGGGAGGGGCAGAGAGAGAGAGGGAGAGAGAGA